TCTGAATCTATCAAAGAGCCTTTCATAATGGAGATTCTTGAATGTGAATCAAAGAGCCTTTCATAATGGAGATTCTTGAACTGTATCTTTAAGAGGTGATTTTGCTGTCTTGGAAGTACATCCAACTGTGCACATTAAAACATTACGAAATTTGTAACAAACTATATTTATAGTTCTTCTAAAGATACATATAACAAAATAAAATACTTGAATAAAGATGAAAGATTTGCTGCTAAATAGTTTTATACTTTGCTGATAAAAATAGACAAAAGTGCTTTTTCAAAATTAAGCATATTGGGGTTGAAGAATTTAAAGATAACACTTAGATTTTTTTTTCTGTTTTATTTTGTTTGTTTGTTTTCTTTTTATAACTTAAATATCCCTTTTCTTAACTCCCAATCTCTGTTATTTGCACTTTTACAACATACTTGAACATTGCATAATTGAGCCATGTGTGTTTTAGGACAAATATTGGGAGATGCTGTGTTCAATATCAATGTCTATACCATTTAAACAATGGAAGCATCAGGTAAGTAACAACATTTGGACAGCAAGTCAATATGACTATGAAAGGTCTCCAATAATGAGCAAATTCAGACCAATACACAGTTTGAGTATTTGGCCTTCTTATTGACCAAGGTTGCTTTCAATCACACTGGATCTATTACCATATCAATCATCACTCTAAATGAATACCATGTTATCATTGACAAAGACATCACTTAAACTGAGAAAGTAAAGATTCTAAATAACAAAATAATGAAAAGTAAGCTGCTATTGCAGGAAAATGAAAAATATACCTTAAGCATTTATTCATAGGGTGGCAAAGACATTGAAGACCAATAAGGAAGAAAACCAAATAAACTCAAAAACAAAAACTAAAATGTCTTCTTGTTCACAAGAACCTTAAAATAGATGATAATTAATCTCACATTATTATGTTTTAGTTCATGCAACTGTTTTCCACAGTATAAAAATTAAGATATAGAATTGAACTGATAAAAATGATTTACATTCTGGATTAAAATATTGGCATCTTTATAGAGTGAAATGTCACTATTTTGCTGTACCTTCAAGTTTTACATTTCCTCCTTTGAATCCCTGTCAGCCTTCATGAACAGCAGAGAGTTTAATCAATGCTTGAGGTAGCAATAGCATGACATTGACTATTTCTCTTGCTAATAATCAAAATGGTGTTTAGTAAGCATCATAGAATAAAAGGACATGCACATATAACCTAATTATCATATTACAAATTCACCTGTGTCCCATGTTTAAAAAAATACCATGTATTTTAAAGAAGATTGTATTCTTCTAAATAAATTGTTTCATAGTTATTGGTTTAGCCTAAAGCATTTGGCTTGCAATAAGAAATGTAAAAATCAAGAAATTAAAATCTTTAGTTATCACACTTAAAACTATTGTTTAAAAAACATTCTTGCAGATCAAGACTGTGTGTGTGTGTGTGTGTGTGTGTGTGTGCACATGCATGAGGGCATATTTTAATCTTCCTCAGAGACTTGGATTATGGTGTGTGAGTTTTGTTCCTTTGTAAAGACACATTTTATTAAAGCTTACCTTGATTTAGATAGGGGCAAGAAAGAGTATCATCTTGGCATAAAGACTGTGAGGTATTTATTAAAGTTCATTTGCTGGATCCCCCAAATATTCTAGAAATGCAGAAAACAAAAGGATAAGCAAGATGCTATAAAATGACAAAGGAAATCAAGAGTGAAATTTCAAGCACATTCAGCTAAATGGAAGACCATGTGGAATAGCATGACACATTTGGCCATTAAGGAAAATCATACAAATGAGTGTGAGAAATCGCTGGACAATTTTGTGGGAGAGAGTAGGAAGAGCATGCAAGTGTGGATGCATAAAGGTCACAAAGAAGGGAAATGGGAGGAAAGAGGCTTACAGCAATCTACCTTTATTAGGCCAATGATTGCTACTCACCTAGAAATTGCTTCTAAGGCCCATGAAATACCTGAGCTTTTAAGTAAAAAGGGAATACTGTTGCTACTTATGAATGTTTTAAATGATCGGGATGAATGTCCTCTTCAAAGGTTTTGAGAAAACATGTTAAATGGAAAACTAAACTCCTTTTGCTTTCGAAGTAATTTCTGGAGGTGAACTTTATTTCGAAGCTCTAAATGCAAAATGTAAAGCCTAAAGTTTAAAACTTCCATAAAATAAGGGCAAATAAAATTAATAAGCAAGTTATTTTTCAAGTAAAATTTTTTATTCGATGTGTATTTTTTTTTTTTTTGGAGAGATTTTTCACTGTAGGGCACGTGCACTCGCCAGACAGACAGAGAGAGACATAGAGACAGAAAGCGAGAAATCACCCCCCCAGGGGGGATGGTCACGCCGCAATCCCTTCTCCTCCATTCTCCTCTCGGGATCTTGGGCACGCATGCACACGCGCCCGGCGTGAGTTTTAAGCCACCGGGTCCGGGACACGAACCGCGGTCGACTACGTGGGAGTCCAGCGATATAGCCATTACGCTAACTGCTGGCTCCCTCGATGTGTATTTTCACATAACACAACACAGCTAAGTTTTTCTCCAACAGGTAGAAGAAGGTCTCTTTTTTTAAAGCATTATTTTTTAATTTTATTTATTATTATTATTTCTAATTTGCTACAGAACACATATATGCATTAGAGAAACAGAGAGAGAGAGCTAGAGAGGGGAAGAGAAAGTGAGAAAGCAAGCTGCCGGGTCTGGGACTCAAACCGTGGTCAGCCACATGAGAACTTAGTGATTAAATCACCATGCCACCTGCTGGCCTCCAAAAGACCCATTATTAAATACATATTTGCAATCTTAGTTATGTGGTAAAAGTAAGCTACATAAATTATTGCTTCTCTCATAGCTCACTTGTAGTAGAAAGATATCTCTCAGAAGTAACTCATGTAAGAAATTTTTATTTTCTTATTGGCATATACCTCTCACTGTATTTCCCAGCTCCTCCTTGAGTATCTAGGTCATTGTCTCCTTTAATTGAAATACATAAGAAAGTCTCTCTTCTGTCATTAGGCCTTAAGGTGACACTATTTATATCTTCACTTTTGCTCCCAAACTTCACACATTTTAATTATTGCAAATATATATTTTTTGAACATGCTCCCTAAACATTTTCTTTAGAGAAAAAAATGCATTGTTTCTCTAACCAATGGGGATAGCATTTAGCACGGGACTGGGCCTTTCATTAAACCACAGTTTGGGCCTTGATACCACATACAAGCCCTAAGTGCAAATGCAAGATTTAATTTTTATTTCATAAATCATATTGACACAACACTTGTGAAATATTTGAAGATGCCGAAACATCATATTTAATTATCTTCTTTTAAGAGGATGAATTTATTGTAATTAAAAATAGGAAAAATGAAAATGAAAAGATTATATTGAGATGCATTTTATCATTTTAAGCACAGAAGCTTCAGACGATCAGATTACCCCATGTGAGTGAAATGGGTATAACACAGACGCTCTTATCTGATCACAAACCAGAAACAGAAGCCAGGAGACAGAGAGCAGCATTTCTCGTCGGTAGGAAGAGATTACATGCAAAGCCATTTTAATTCCCCCAATATAAAAGAAAGTCATCATGAGAGGGATGTTCTCTTAAAGAAAAGGTGTGGCTTAAATGTAGATTTTTAACAATCCCTCAAAATGAGCAAAAAGATATGAAGTAGCAAGCAAGAGCACATTCTTCCTAATGGATTCAGAAGGAAAAATCTAAGAGTCACATTATAAAACCTTGAGCTGGCTCTCTAAGACAGAGCTGATGGAAAGAGACAGGAGAAGGTGAAGAGCTGAGGATGTTATGGAAGCATGTGAGCAGCGAGCAGCGCAGCACCTGCACCTCAGAAATGTCACCTGATCCTTAGAGAAAAGTAAAATGTAAAATGTTAACAATAGTCTAAGAGGAATTAAGATAATTTGCTACATTTTATCTAAGAGGCTTAGAGACTCAGACTTCATTGTTTGCACATTTATTTACTCATGGATGTTAGGGTTGAGTGTCTCAGAAGCTCTCCAGTTCTAGCTCAAGGCTTCAAACAAATATGGTATTTATGTCTGCTTAATAAAATAAATATCTGAGGACCAGAGATTAAAAAGAAATCATTATAGTAACAAAGGTTGTTACTAAATATATGACTGGTAATAGTAGTAATAACATCATTTAAATAAGAATAGCCAGTCTCTATAACCAGATAGATACATATCTTTGATTTAATACAGTTTAGCATGAGTGTTTAAATGTGAAATATGACCAAATAATTGCTTTACTTAGTTTCTGTCCTTCCCAATTTCTCTTCCTTTTTTATGTACTTAATTTCTAAATTTCTTTCTTTCTCTCATGAGTGGGAGAGAGAAAAAGAGAGACAGGCACAGTCAACAGGCAGAGCTCTAGCACCACGACCTTCCCCGAGCCTCAAGCAGTCCCAGATCATAGGCATGTGTTTGCCAGTGTGTTCTGGGAGCAGTGGCATATAGCTCTTGCAGTGGTAATGCAAGTTCTTCCACATGGGTCAGCCCCACAGAATGTGTGTTACCAATGCATCCCATTCTAGACCTCCGGTTTCTTTTTCTTATTTTTGTCAAAATGTTATGGATTTCTGCTCTTTCAAGAGTCAATCAAGCAGTTGTGGTAACGTGGCAGTTGTAGTTAGCCATGGTTAGTTGTCATTTCGATAATATGTATTAGTTTATTCCAGTACAGATCATTCTGTTTTTTGTCAGAGTTAACATTTTCCCATTCAACATTTTCCCATTCAGCTGATAAAGAAATAGGAATCTTTGGCACTCTGCTAAGATACTGGACAAGTGCCTTCCATTGTTTCAAATGTAAGAGGTCAAGAGATACCTTTTTTCACTCTAGAAGTACTTATTGAGACTTGCTGTGAGGCAGTCTGCGTGTTTAATTTCTAAACCTCACAAGCAGCTTGGAAATGTATTACTTTTTTTGCTGCACCTGCTGCGAGGATGAAGACCATTCTCAGCAACCAGACGGTCAACATTCCCCAGAACGTTGACATCACCCTGAAGGGACGCACTGTCATTGTGAAGGGCCCCCGAGGAACCCCGCGGAGGGACTTCAACCACATCAATGTGGAGCTCAGCCTCCTTGAGAAGAAGAAGAAGAGGCTGCAGGTTGACAAATGGTGGGGAAACAGAAAGGAGCTGGCAACCATTCGCACTATCTATAGTCACGTCCAGAACATGATCAAGGGTGTTACATTGGGCTTCCGCTACAAGAAGAGGTCTGTGTATCCTCATTTCCCCATCAACGTCGTTATTCAGGAGAATGGGTCTCTTGTTGAAATCCAAAATTTCTTGGGTGAAAAATACATCCGGAGGGTTCGAATGAGACCAGGTGTTGCTTGCTCAGTACCTCAAGCCCAGAAAGACGAGTTGATCCTTGAAGGCAATGATATTGGACTTGTTTCAAATTCAGCTGCTTTGATATGGCAAGCCACGACAGTTAAAAATAAGGCTATAAGAAAATTCTTGGATGGTATCTATGTCTCTGAGAAGGGTCCAGTTCCGCAGGCC